ATAACAGATAAATACAAATATCTGGGCGTATGGATAAACAATGGGGCCGAGTACCCAAGGGAACACGAAATATACGTGTCGACTAAAGGTAACAGGAATGCAGCGGTAATGAAAAACAGGGCACTGTGGAATTACAATAAGTATGATGTTGTGAAAGGAATATGAAAAGGGGTCATGGTGTTGGTCTGACGTTCAGCAATGCGGTCGTGTGCATGAGATCAGAAATTCAAGCAAGATTAGGAATTAAACAACGTGGAATAGGTAGGCTTGCCTTAGGAGCGCACGGGAATACACCAAATCAGGGAGTACAAGGTGATATGGGATGGACATCATTTGAGGGCAGGGAAGCTAGCAGCAAGATAAAATTTGAGAATCGATTGAGAGAAATGGGGGAGGAACATTAGGCTAGGAAGGTATTCAGCCAGTTGTACATGAAGAATGTCGATACAAAATGGCGGAAGCGAACCGGAAAATTGACTGGTAAATACTTGGAAAACAGCAGGGGGCAAACCAAAAAAATTATCGGTTAAGAAGAAGGTGAAGAAAGCTGAGACCGATATGTGGAGAATCGGCATGATTAAGAAGTCCGCACTAGAGATCTATCGAAATTTTAAGCTGGAAATTGCCAAAGAAAGGATCTATGATAATACTCGGGGTACTTCTCTACTCTCTGAGGCCAGGACGGGAGTATTGCGAACCAAGACATATCGGGCCAAATACGAAGGGGTAGACACGGTATGCAGTGCCTGTGTAGAGAAAAAAGAAACTGCGGAACACTTGATAATGTTCTGTAAAGGGCTTCACCCTATAGTTCAGGATGATGGCGCAGAGTTTTTCAAAGCACTGGGGTTTAGGGACAGGGAGGGCAAAATAGACTTTAAGCGGGTAGAATTAACTAGATGGAGGGTATCTGATTGGTGGCTAAAGTCAAGGCACGAGTGAAAATTGAACCCTTCGCTGCAAAGTACGAATCTTCAACCTCACCATTTAAAGAAAAAAATAAATCTAGTTTTTGGTTCATTAAGTATTATGGCTTGGTGGCGGTAGCCACCGCCCGATTTACAGGGTACAGCCATATCCATCCATCTATCAATCCATCCTACCGGAAGCAGACGACACAACGTCACGCACGCGTTCTGCCATGTCACATCGTGATGCAGGTTCCGTAAAGGCGGAGCTTAGCCTCAAGCGCTTGAAGAAAAAGTTGAGGGTGAAAGGCGGAGCAAAGGAGGAGGGTACCTTTTTAGTATTCGTAGCTCCGTTAATATTGAGTGTTTAAATTGAATTATGGTGGCAATGATTTGATCCAGTAGTGGTCTAATCAAAAACGGAATGTGAAAAAACCGTTTCAGGGGCCCTTTAAGGATAGACTCCATGAAACCTTTATAGCATACAAACAACAGTGACCAAACATTTCCGAATATATAAGTGGAATTGTAGGTGTCTTTGAAGACAGGTTAGTACTTTCAAGTAGTTATAATCAGTGGGCTATTCTACTCTGTTAATTATTAAACATTAAGTCATTCAGGTTATGGTCAACATTTCAGTGGTTAGCATTCGAGCATCGAGGTTGGTTACGCAGTTCTTAACAAAGTTGCATTCACTTATTCACTTTTCAGTTATTTGCAAGTGGTTAAAGCAAATGAATAGTTGTGGCACACGTAACCACGTCGATAGGAATACGCTTTACAGACTGCGGCTGTTTCAACTGCCATAATAGAATCATACTTGCTCGCCTCACAGACTAATTGGAGTAAAATTATATTAATGCTATAAAACGAAGAAACGTGTACAAATATGATAACGCTGACTTGAGCCAAACGCAGAAGGCCATGACAACAGACGCGACGGAAGAGGTTACGGCAAAACTGGTGGCCCGGGGAAACATGGAGAAACCGTTGTTTAAACGAACAAGGGGCTGCCACTCATTCAAAGGGCCAACTTTTTGTAGACATAATCACACAGAGCAACCTAAGAATGATTTTAATAATAGAATAGTTGATAGTATTTTTACTTTATTTAATGCATACATCGTACCCACTGCATAAATCGAGATATTTTATTTATTTATTTATTTATTTCGACATACTGCCAATCCCATCAGGAATTTTAGCAGGAAGGGCGTGAGCATAAAAATTCGAATAAGTACACAATAAAGACATACATCGCGATAAAGTACAGAATGAAACTAACAGAATCGGATCATTTAACAATTTCAGATCAAAGAAGGCATAAAACATTAGTGTAAAGAAAAGTTGTAAGAAAAAAATAAATGCAGCGACTTGGTTGACACATTGGTTAACATATTGGCATATGCATCAAGAAACACAACAAGAAATTACAGCAATAAGAAACTACCCTACAGTATGGCGAAGTATTTTAAGAAAGGGCAATTTTATACACACTGAAAAAGAGAAACATGTTCAAGAATCAACAGAGCGATTTCTCTTCACCTGGATTCAGTACTAAAAATTGCTTAAAGAAAAAATATGATGACATGAAACTTTGCTCGTACAATGTTCACACGTACACTCATATTAAAATCAACCAGGTGATTTCGTTTGCATAATACAAAGTTCATTTTCGACAAGGGTTAGAAATTTTGCTAATTCGGTGGTGCTTGAGATACTCGGATTCAGTTTATTCCATTCATTAGTGGCTATCGAAAAGAATGAGTACTTAAAGCAGTTTGTGTTGAAGGAGTATTCGTTAAGTCTTATTGGGTGTTTTTGGCGTGTTGTTCTAGTTTGATCAAACGTAAGATAGGCGGATACATCAATGTTTAAATGACCATGGAATAATTCATGTATGAATTTTGCACGTGCTAACCTTGTTTTATTCATTAGAGTAAGTAATCCAGCTTTTTTAATTAGTTTAGTCGAAGAATCTGTATGTCTGTAATTGTTGTAAATGAACCTTATAGCTTTCCTTTGTATTCCTTCCAGTTTCGTGATTTGCTGTTTTGTGAATGGTGACCAAATAATATTACCGTATTCAAGTAATGATCGCACAAGGGAAGTGTATGCAAGCAGTTTTAGAGAAGGCGGGGCCTGGCGAAGCCGGTATCTGAGTGCAAACAAGCGGCGTAGTGCAGCTGAAGTAACGTAAGTTATGTGTGCGTCCCATCTTAGATCTTCAGTTATAATAAGTCCAAGATATTTATGCTGATTTACTCTAGTTATGGGAATGTCATTGATAGTGTAAAGAAAATTTGACCTAGTTTTTTTTCGACTTACCGATAAAATTGTACACTTGTTTGCATTAAGTGACATCTGCCATTTACGGCACCAGCAGGAAACATCTTGTAAAGCACTATTTAAAGCTACATGGTCCTCCTTTGAGTTTATTTCTCGATATAGCACGCAGTCATCCGCGAATAATTTAATTTTTTCCTTAATATTTGTAGGCAAATCATTAATAAAGAGAAGAAACAAAATTGGCGCCAGCACACAGCCCTGCGGAACTCGAGATGTGACGGAGGTGGTAGCAGAGGTTTCATCGTTAAATTTCACATACTGTGTACGATCAGTAAGATAATTTTTGATCCAGTTAACAACAGTAGAATTTCCTAAGGTGGCCTCAAGTTTTTGAAGTAGTTTCTTGTGTGATACCTTGTCGAATGCTTTGGAAAAGTCGAGGAAGATTAGATCAGTTTGTTTTTGGTTGTCAATACTCTGGGATACCTCATGTGTTAATTCCACTAATTGGGTTATGGTTGAAAGACCTCGGCGAAAGCCATGCTGATAGGGAGATAATATACGTTTTCTTCTAGGAAAACAGTTATTTGTTTAAGAATTATGTGCTCCAAGATTTTACAGATTGTACATGTCAGGGATATAGGTCTAAAGTTAGATATATCATTTCCGCTTCCTCCTTTATGCACAGGAACAACTTTGGCCTTTTTCCACTCCACAGGTAAAGAGCACGTTGATAGTGATTTGTTAAACATGACGCACAGATATTTAGCTAGCAACTCTGCATATCTTACAAGAAAGATGTTAGGAATGTTGTCGGGCCCTGCTCCTTTGTTTGCGTCCAAGTTTAACAAGAGATTTATGACACCGGCCTCATTGATAATAATCGATTCCAGGGTACCTTCCGCATTAGAGTCGATGTCTGGAATGTTTCCGTCATCGACAGTGAATACAGACTTGAAATAGCTGTTCATTTTGTCTGCAGTGATCGGGTTATCTTTTTCCGGGGGTGTGTTGCTTTTGTTGTTTTTTGCGGGCTTTAGGTAGCTCCAAAATTGCTGGGGGAATTTTTTAGAAAGTTTGGCAACGTTTTAGTGAAATAGTTGCTCTTCGCTGTTTTGATTTTTGTTTTTAGGTCACTCACAGCAGCAGTCAAATTATTTACTGTTACTGCTCCAGGTTTTTGTTTCATTCTCTTTCGTATTCGCTTTACTTTGCGTTTCGCATGTATTACCTCGCGTGTTATCCACAAGTTGTGATTCTTAATTTTTTTCACTCTAATAGGTACAAAGGTATTAATACAGTGGTGCATAATTTCTTTTAACTGAGACCATAATATTTCGATGGTCGTGGAACTATCATTCGACAATTCTTCGAAGGACGGAAACTTTAAAATTAGGTAATTTAGTATGCTAGTGTCGTCAGCATATTTAAAATCCGGGTAAGTAATTTTTATGTTCGTTGGTTCTATTTTACCACGAAAGGAGACAGTGCACAAAGTGAGCTTGTGATCAGATATGCCATCCATAACTTCAATCTTCGTTTCATCGGCTGGGAAGTGGTTACTCAAGAATATAAGGTCAAGAATATTTGAAGTTTCTCCCTGGACACGTGTTGGTTGGTTGACTACTTGGTGAAGATTAAATCGCAGCATTGTGTCGATAACGACATCTGAGCATGCGGAATGAAATTTCATGGATTGCCAGTCGATATCAGGAAGGTTAAAATCACCCAATAAGATGAGTCTTGCGCTTTGTATGTTTTGTTCAATGTAGTTGTAGAGCGATTGCATGCTATCTTCGCCAGAAGTAGGACTGCGATAGCAGCAGCCCACAATTGTTGTGTGAAGGCTAAATTTTAGTTTCAAAAAGACAGCTTCTACGCCTTCAACCTCTGGCAGCACTGTGTATTGTATTTCGCGTTTTATCATTAACGCTACTCCACCGCCTCGTGTCGGTCTGTCCTTCCGCATTATATTGTAGTTTGGGGGCGTTACTTCGCTATCTAAAATGTCATTATTTAACCAGGTTTCGGTTAAAGCAACAAAGTCTGGCTCAAGGTCGAGAAGTAGGCATTCAAGGGATTCTAATTTGTTTAGGACGCTTCGGCAATTCACATTTATAAACCTCAGCTGGGGCGGTTTCGAGTGCGAGACGCCGGCCCGTCGCTTGGCAGGTTTTTTTTTTCCAGTTGAGGGATTTTTCGCCTCGCCAATCATTACTTTATTGTTTACGGTGTCATCCCAGCGATAAAGAATACGGTCTATACTAATTTTGTCGTAGACAAGATGTACCTTTTGCCCGGATTCCTTATTTGGTTTCGCCGAGTCCCACAATTTTTTCCTTATATTACGCACACGCTCGGAAAAGTCTTCACTAATTGATATGTCGGTATTCTTTAGTGTATGACAGTTTTTCAAAATATTTGTTTTGTCTCGATCATCAAGGAAACAATTATTGGTCTAGTTTTGTTCGCGCTTGGTTTACCGAGCCGATGTATCTTTTCGATTGAAACAGGTTCAATTTTCAGAACACCTTTCGCAACTATTGTTTATTACTTGCTCTAGTGATTCCTCATCTTCTTTTTCATCCTCAGGGATGCCATACACTATCAAGTTACTTCTTCTTGACCGGTTTTCTAAATCATCCAGCTTTAATTCTAGGCCTGATACTACTTTTTCTAGGGCGGAAACTTTTGTGGTGCAGTCGAGTATTTTTTCATCTAAGGCAGCCAGTTTTTCCAATTTGGACTCAAAAGCGGTTAGTCGTTCTTCTTTAATTTTTTTAATATCACCAGCAATTTGCGTTAGTTGTTGAGAAATTTGTTTTAGGTCGGGCCCGGGTTTGTCTCGACGTCACCTGCTAGTAATAACAGGTCCCTCAAATAGCAGGACAAGTTACACAAGGGATCAGAAAGCAACCTTGGGCACGGCAGCACAATCAAGAAGAGGCAGTCAGAACGCATGCATTCGCCGTAGCGTTTTCTCACCTGTACGACATACAAGAAGGGATTAGCGCTCTACATGCTTCAGGTGCAGCCGTGCCCATTAATCGCCGTCGCTTGGGGGGCCGTATTTATGTCCAGGGTTGTCGACGTTGAGTGAGGTACCGAGGGGGCGCTGAAGATGGCGTCGGCGCAGTACGTCGCTGAACCCAACGGGTCCAACTTGTAGGGACGACCATCCAGACCAACCGGCGCGTATTGCACGTGGCGGGCTTTATCACGGCCTAGATTTGCTGTCCACGCTGTCGTTGGTTTGCCCGCTTCTTCATGCCCCGCCGGTATCAGCAGCAGGAAAGTGCCGATCTGTACGACATACAAGAAGAGATTAGCGCTCTGCATGCTTCGGGTGCCGCCGTGCCCATATTGAATGTGAATGTACGCAAAAATGACACATTTATGGTTTTTGGTTGCACAAAGTAGATTGCATCGGTGTCACACGAGCACTTTAACGCATCAAAGAGGTGGATTTGGAAGTGTGGCAGTTTGGGCTAGTTGGTATGACATGACGATAGTTATAGCGCGAGAACAGAACGACGACGGGTCTGATTCCTTGATCGCGATCAACAATGATTGTTGCTAAGCGGTGCAAATTAATCTGGATCAAGTTTGCCCGAAACGAGAGTCAAACAGCAGTTCGGGAGCCAAATCCCGATCAAAAGTGCCCGTGTGACACCGGCAGGGAACGTGACTTACGTCACAATTAGTGCGACGAAACATGCGATGGCATACAGGGCTACAAAAGAGAAGACTGTAAACCCCGCTACTTACTCGATCATGCAGCCTGAAGGAGAGATCAGATGGAAGCCGTTTCCGCCGCCGAACTTCTTGCTTAGTTGTACACGGACAGGAGGGGGCACCGCAGAACACAAAGCCGATAAATTCAGTGACGCAGACTCTATAAAAACTAAAAGTTTACTTTGTTAACTACTGATGAAGGGACCGTGGCGGAAACCTCCATTATTTTGAGCGCGAAACTATCACGTGACTAACAGCCCATGATGCAAAGCGCGGCCCGACGTTGACAATGTATTGCCTCCGAGACAAATACAGCTGGTGCCAATCTTAAAGGTCATTGCTTGTTTTATAACTAGGTTTTTTAGATATTCTTCGCGCGAATTATACATTTTTTAATCAAGACTGCACTTTTGTTTTGGTGACAGTTGATTAGCGCAACATAGAAACCATGGTAAAAACGCATCATGAGGATGCAGAAAAAAAAGCAATTGGTGAGTGTGTAGCTGAAACTTCAGTTGTGCTACAGTGCACCAGAAAGGAGAAATGTATCGTGCGGCGCCGGAAAAAGGGCCCCTCTTGCGATGACCACTCTGCGCACCACCAAATGGCGCTACTGGCCACAGGAGCGCTACGCAAGCTGCGGTGATACCTTCGCAAGTGGTTAGCGCGGCTGATTTTTGTATTGTTCTGAGTTGTCGTGCAAGTGCGGCTGTTTATGTTATTAATAACCACTGCAACGCCAATTATTCATAAAATCTATCCCTTACACACAGGCAGCATCACAATGTAGTGCTGTCAACACTTCTTGCACAAAATTTCTTAAACACCGGACGAAACAGACACGGACGGGCGCAAACTTCCATTTGCGTCTGTTGTCTACGAAATTTTCCGCAAGAATTGGTGATTTTGGAATACCAACTAGCTCTAACCCACACCTTGTTAGTGCTGTCGTCCAGTGGAGCATGTTTTTTTTTTTAAATTCAGGAATATTATGAAGCAGTGAGATACCTTCAAGTGGTATTGGGTAAGTTTTAACGCATTAACTCATAAAGCTTAAACATCTCTATTTATAGCATACGAGTTTCTGTGTTCGGTATGCATGTTTTATATCTTTTATATTGCTTCCCATGCTAAGCAGTCGAGAAGCTTCAAGCGAATGCGTCTGCATGTTGCTTCTACATTTGCGACTGGTCGCGCACAAGCAAAGACACCGACAGAGAAACATAATTCTGAACTTTATTTTTCATTCAAACATTTTTTCAGCCCAGCTGCTCCTTTCGATTAAACCAAGATATCTTCACAACGAGACACAAACTTATCGAAAAAAAGATGATGGTTTTCCACGTAGAAACCAAGAAATCATCAATCACTAACCCCACCTATCAAGAAAGATCGCCTCAGTTTCAGGTGTTTCGCCTGTTGTCTCTTAGTGTTGAGTGACATAGCATAAAATTGAAAACGAAGAAGTACATAAAATTTCACTATACTCAGTTTCAGCTCTTTGTGATGTGTGTCACACCCTGGCTTTGGCAGGTCAACACTTTGGAGGAACATGGCAAAGTCTTGCAAGCTTTGAGCGTTGATTTTCTTTCAACTGAAGAAAATGGTAAATGACTCTTCTAAAGCGCTTACAAGACCGGAAATCCCAGAACATGGGTATAACAGACCGCCATAATCACAATGCCTAATGAAGTCATTATTGGTATTTGAATGACCCTGCTCTTTGCTCATTGTCAAGAGCCCATTACATGTACTACAAACAGTTTTTCTCGCAACCTTCCTAGCCACATAACCTGCAATATAATGTATTAGGCAGCTTGAGCTGTGGTGAGTGACACACCTGCTATGATCTTCCCATCATCGACAAGGCAATAAAGTACATTTATGGGGTTTTTCTTATCCTGGCTTAAGCTGGCATGACAATGGCCAAATAGTTAATTGATCACTTCAGGGCAGCAGTTTCCTGTCTTTGGTGGCTGTGATACACCATAAAAGGCCAGTGCATTCACAGTGACCAAGAAATGAGTAGGTATTGGGTGATCGTTGCAGCCGTTGCATTGTCGCACAATCCCAAACAAGTTTTCGAACTTGTCCTGACTCAGCCTACAGGTTAAAGATAACGGAAACTGCACTGTGAGCTAAGGTACTCAGCGATGTCCAGAGTTGAGCGAATGGTAACCCGTAGGCCCTCGGCAGTGCTGTTGCTCAAAAATCCGTATTTTGAGCTATGAGAGTGCGACTCCCACTCGTTAAGAAACACTAGAAACTCCCTTAAAAAGTCGGCTACAGGAGATTCTGGTCTGAACGCTGTTGCTGGCACACGCGACGTCATTATTTTAATTAATTTTGAAAATCTCAAAATGAAAGCTTTTGTCACATTTCCCGGGCCTAGGAGTCTTTCAATTTGTTTTCGGTAGAAGAACAGTCCTATAAGTACCTCATCACTAAAAAGGAGGATCGCTGACCCTACTCTCTGTTTCTCAAAACCGTTGGGAAAAAGATGCAGCCTGCTAAGATGCGGCACAACTTTCAAGGTCACACTTTCATTAGTTAATTTTCATGCTTCCATGATGTAATATGCATGGACTCGTCCCGCCGACGTGATAAACCCAGTGTCTAGAAAAGCATTTCTAACATTTTTAAGCAGGTGCGGGAATTCAGAAAAAAATGCAGGGCACGGGTATCATCCACAGAATGAGTGCACTTGGACTTGGTGCTTGAGGAAGATCCTGCATTTCAAAATAAATTTGGAAACAGTATGATTCACGGAGTTTATGCTTAAAAAGATGGAATATTGTAACTGTACAGTGGGGTATCAAAACCAGAAGTAGATAAGAAATATTTAGTACTTTTCATGACAAGCAAGCATCCTACTCGAAAGACAATGAATCTTACCTTGTGTGCCAAAAATCATCCACATACTACGGTTCCAACTTGCACCATCACAAGTCGCTCCGTCAACATGCAGCCTCGCATTTTCACAGAGTAACGTGCACCGAGGATGATCTTTGCAAAAATGTTGGCTCTTACGTTGTCCTTGGCCGCAAATATGCCAAGAATTTGCATCCATTTACCTGAAAATGAGAAGCATGATTGTTAT